TAAAGGTTCAGCAATCTTTGAGTAAAAGCGTTCATTTTGATTTTTTGGATATGACTTTCCAGATTTAAAAGTCAATACATTTATTTATTTATTTTTTGTGAGGACAGAGGAGTAATTGGAGTCTTTGATCATTTTACACCCTTATCTTTACGGATGGGGATACTTTAAGAGGGTTCTTTCCCTTAATAAATTTTTTTCATGGGGAAAAATGTTTGGGATTAGTTTTCCTTCTTACACCACGGAAAAATGTTAAATTCAAATTCAGTAAAGCTAGAGAAATGGTAATTGGTATCAAAATGTGAATTTTAATTATTTTGAGCTGTGTCTTGACAATTGACTGATTCTCCCTGCATATTACTCAGGTAAAGTACTGAATTATTTATAAATGTGACCTCTGGTTATTAAATATCAAGCTATCATAAGAGCAGCCAATCTTATTAATATTTTCGCACTGGTAGGGTCAAGTTTTGGGGTAAATCCTAAGGTCACCAAATGCAAAGCAAGAATAGCTTCAAAGCATGTCATATTGTACAGAAGATAATACTTAACAGAATTTTAGTAGAGAGGGGAAGAGAAGATTTAGAAAAGCTGTAGAAGGAGGGAGAGGGGGCGTAGGTTGGAAAACATGGCTGTTGAAGTTTACTGGCGGCAATTAAAGAGTAGATAGAGCGATAGATAAGGAAAATTGTGGGTCAGGCCAATGAAAATATCACAACTGTTTAATTTGGCAAATAGAGTTGAAGTGATTAAAAGGTAGCTTGCAAAAGCGTGAAAGTATTGGCTGACGACGTGCTGATATCTCATTGACAATAAGATCTTGTCGATCGATTGAACAACTCATGGTAATTTATTTTAAAGTACTTTTTATCTGAGGAGTTTCAAGTGAGTAACTCTTAATATCCACATTTATTTCGCAAAAATGGCAAAACTTGGAATTCTACGATTTCTGAGATTTTTCCCTTTTTAAATGCTTTTCTTATTGGACTTATTGAAATGCTAGTAATTCGAGTCTTTTAAAATTAATTCAAATTCCTTTTCATCTGCTTATTTGGATTAAGTTATCGTAATTGCCACTCTCGTTTCTGAACATTGTTTTTCCCGATTATATCAAATTAAGCAGTGCAATATGCGAATTTACTTCCACAAATTTTGCTCTCCTGTAGTTTAAATTTCGCTGTTCAATCTGATTAATTTTTCATTCATTTGTCAGGCTGGTGCTATATGGTCTCAAGAATGTTAACAGCATCGTGGTACCTTAGATAAGTTCATTCGAAATATTTATTTAAATCAAACGGCAGGCTTTATGATTGTTACCATTAACCCTTTCGCTGACATTGGACTTCAGAGAGGGAAGGAACAACGAAGTCAAAAAATATCGAGATGGAGGGGAACAGAAAGATGATTCATAGATGTAGAAGAGACTAGCACAAAGGTAGAGAAAAAGGTAAGATGAGTACTCTGGAAGTGGTCGAATATGACATGCAGTCGGTTCATGTCAGTTTATAGACTTTTTGCCCTATATGTTACCCAGGTTGCACCAAGTGGAGGTAAGTCGGGAGATATAAAAGCTTAATAATAAGCTTATATCTCGGTACATAAATTATGACTCAATGAGAGGAATAATTTTCCCGATTTAGTGTAAAGTTATTTTTTAACTATCAATATACTGGCGCTGGAACAAAATGTGAATCTTTCAATCAAATATAGAGTGGATTGGCATTGATGCTTCGAACTTTATGTAACATGCCGGCATAGACCTCATCTAGATATCAAATATTCATAAGGGACATTCTTATGAATTTATTTGAGATGTAGATAATCTAATGTCACTGAGATGTAATCTGTAAGAGCAGATAATATATAAAGATCATACTCGGATAAAGTAAATTAGATTATTTTAAGCATTGAGTAAAAATCTCTCCTCCTTCATTGTTAAGAGTGATTTCTCTCGAAATGAAATGCCAAAAGGGAGTCTGTGGATCACAATGATGTATCCTTTTAATATGTACTGGATGAACACAAAAGAGCCTTGACTATACTTCACCTATCTCTATGACAGCATCCCTTGCCCGAAGTTAGCAATTAGGAAGCAGAGCGTATGACGTGGAGTGTGTTTATTCGAGTTGGGATCTCATTGCCACAGAGCTTTGTCATTGAATACAGTTGTGGGTACACTGGTCTTGCAGTAACTACTGATTGTTGATTAGCTGGGAGGTGCATGCACTCACGTCCACACTTGGTCCTTGACGCGATCGGTAGCGTGCCGCACATTCCAGAATGTTCGAGTGGGTATGTGATTTCTTGGTTCACCCACGTTAACGATGTGTTCTCCACCAATCATTAAAAAGTTGAGTTGGTGTGATTACCAAAAAGAAACTGTTTAAAATAGGGCTAGGGTTACATGCCAATCGTTTACAGTTATTAAGTTACGATTTTTGATAATGTCAACGTAGCTACACTTTTTCCTTCAAAGCTTAACGCAAGTTAACATGATTTAGATGTTCCAATTCAAATGGCCAGTAGCTTTTCTCTTCCACATTTTACAAAATCTATGCCTATTTTGAGAATTTTTCCCTGTTTTCGATGCTACAACAACAATCTAAAAAATCAGTAATGCCTCTGCGGTTTCTTCGGCCACTGAAACTTGTTGATCATAACATAAATCAGGCGTTATTTTTAACTGCTAACTCAGCAGGAATTCTATTGCAGTAGAATGATATTTGAATACACCACAGCGAATTTAAAGTTATTTGCTTTGACAGTTGGTGTTTTTTTAAATTAAAAGAAAACAGTGTACAAAATATGAAGGAGTAAATTAACTGCAGTTGGTGATTGAATGCCATTTCAATTGATCAGAAAGTGAAATTATCTATATATATGAATATATATATATATATATATATATATATATATATATATATGCAACTTTTCTACGAAAGTATATAATGCGTGAAGCATAATAAAAATGTATTATGAAATAAGAACTAAATTGACACTTGAGTAAAATCATATAATACTAACAATTCTAAATTCACTTAGGAAAGTAATTCCAAGCGTTCATTGGCATAATAGAGCCTCCCAAGTGAGATTCAAATTCTTCTTCTTCCGTGCGTGTGACCTCCGGTGAGACAGATGAGCGCGGTGATCAATATGGTGCAGACTCAGAATAATTGCTCATACGTAAGTTAATGGATTTAACAGAGCTAAGCGCTCCTGACTTTCATCACAAAATTATTTTTCTAATAGCAATTTAATCAGAAATGTTCGTGGTGGAAACGATTAAAAAAGCGTAATCCCGTTGAATATTCATAGTAAAATTCATTCAATATTATTGATAAAAAAACAAAGAGGACGGAATCCTATTCGATTTTCACAATTGCACTTGGGTAAAGCTCTTGTCCACTGAGTTATCAAAAACTGGGTTCGCACCCCCACACCCGGCTAATTACTACCACCCATGGAGAAAACAACGCTGCACCTATTGGATAACCAGGCAGCCAATCACTTATCAAATATTTAGGTCTATATGAGTAAATTTACTTTATTAGTCTGGGGTGTGCGATAGACTTACATCCACGTGGTGCACCTTGGGCAATGTATATTCATACGGCAAAAAAGAAGTCTATCAATGGGCAGTTGACCTCTGACTTCAAACTGCCATGACCCCACTGTATGCTATATTCGACTACTTCACAGTACCCACCTCACCTTTTTTCTACCTTCGTCTTTGAAGCACTCTTCTGTTCCCCCCCCCCCCCCCACCTCTCGACTTTTTTCCACTTTGATGTTCCTTCCCCTCTGTGAAGCCTGAAGTCAACTAAAGGGCTAATGATAATTATCAGAACGCCTGCCATTTATATAAATAACTTTATTAGTCTAAATATCGTTGTTTGAGCCTTAAGACTTCTCTTTTCTCTACGTAGCTTTAGATAAAAGTAAACGTGGAAGTTATAAGGTCGAGGTTATAGCACAGTAAACTAATATTTATCAAAATAATTTACTTTTCTTGGAACCACAAAACTTTTTTTGCAATTTCAACATTTTTGAAAGAGAGAATAGTTCATATTGTGTAGTTCTGATAGAAATCGTTGAAAGTTTCACTTCTAAATTTGTCCATTATATAGTGCAGTGGGATCGTGTATCAAAATTCAAGATGGACGCTCTCCCCATTTCCCACTTTTAAATAAAATGCAATATAAATTTGCCAATCTGGGTTAACACTGGATCTCTTTTATTATGGAGTATTAATTAGAACCATCATGAGCTACTTCAGGTTACTTTAGGTCGTACAAGGGGTAAACATGATATAGGCGTCACATATCAGAATATCGCCTACAGCCACCAAGGGTGAGTGAGATATGCTAAGACTCAATTGTCTTAGGACAAATCATTTCAGTTCAAGCAGGGTGAACTGTAAAAGCTTAATATTAAAAATATCGGTAATTATATAATTAGAAAAGATGAAACACTACATTGATAAGTTTCCAGAACGTTCGAGAATATTGTTTATGCTACCTGAACTTTGATTTATTTATTATAGATTGATCACAAATTAAGCTAATATAAACATCTTTTCCTAAATATCATTTAAATCCATATTAAAAATAAATTTATGATTAAATTTATGGATTTCAATGCATTAGTTCAAAGCGACAATTACATTACATATTCTAAAATAAAAACTGACAAAGGAGAAAACCGTTCCAAATAAGCATTATATCAAAATAATACAAGGTCCACTGACCAATTCCCTCAGAAAAGAATTTAATATCTGTCATGCCTCTTCTTTGCCAATTTAGTTTTCTTCAGGTTAATTTTTTTTAAATTTGGTTGGCACAGAAATAGCCGTCCACCAATCGATGGATATAGTGCACAATCCACGAACCAATCAGGTAAATGGTTTGCGTAATTGAAGAGCGATTGGCTTACTGAAATAGGCGTAAAAGGAGTGCTTGACTGTTTTCCCAAACTACCTCCACGGTACAACTGGATAAGCCTTAATGACGTCGAAAATGGCCTTTCTCGACTTTGAAGATGAGGCAGAAATTGAGGGAGAAGATGGCGCCTTCAAGGATAGTATAATCGAACCTGTCTACCGACAAAAATTGGAAAAAACAAGCTCTACTTGTCACCAAGGGCGAGCTCCTACTCTCACTATTGAAGTTGTCCGTGTCAGCCGACCCCTGAAGGTCAGTTCAATGTTAATTATTATCAGAATATTTTCGCATAAGTAAAATAAACACTGCACTGCAAGCAAACGATTGTATTCATTTTCTTAATTTACTTATTACTTTTTCCTAACTATTTTACAAGCCTTAATCAGATTCTAATTGTGTAATGATTACTAAATAGCTTGTTGGCGTTGCATATTTCAAAATTTATGTCTCAACAAATTAATTACTGAGTAAATTAATGAGCATGAATACTGGCCAAGAGCTCAATTATGGTCACCCTACTCAAACCATTTTTCTTCAAGGGATTGGAAAAAACGGAATGATATTTTATGGAATTAATTGGTTTGCGTGGCTTTGACGCAGTAGGGATGTGAATTCTCAATTTAATAGTTTATGGATTTAATTAACTTCGCACAACATTTAATAGACCTTAGATTTACTGAATTTAGGCTCAAACTAATGGCATTTTAACAATTAATAATTAAAAAAGTTATTTTAAAATATCAATAGCGAAGTAATTTTTACCTGGTCATTAATTTTCTGTTGAATTTATTTCAAAAATAATAAATTTAAGTGTCGCTGTCATTGAACATTGGACTAGATACAATATTCCGGCTGTAAAATTCCCTATTCAACCATTATAAATCTGCGTATTTTCATGGATCGGCAGATCTGAATAGCCAGATCGGGTTTATTGCAGAAAAAGCTACATCATTTACAGCTTTTTTGCTACTAATAACAGAGAGCATTTCCCCTATTTAGTGCCACTTAACAGGAGCGAAAAATAAAGTCGGCCGAATTTTTTCTGAAGTAAATAAGTAAGAGTTTTCGAGAGGCCTATAAATTGCGAAAATAAGTAAGCCAAGAGAAGAAATCTGAACTTTATCCAATGGGAATTTATGTCTCTTCGCATCTGTTTATTAACGCAAATAACCTAGGATACTTGTGTGGCAACAGTAATAAAAGAAAGCCTTCATAGAGGTCTGAAATTTGTATTTAAATAAATAGCAGATGTGATGCTATTTTTCTTCAAATTTCTAAAATATTTTATAGATGTTTTCAAAAATTTTGCTGCAATGCAGTCTCTGCCTAATTATATAAAATTGTGTGAAATGCCTTCTAACAAATCAAGGCAATATTTTGATGTCCGATGATTCTCTTTCAAAAAGTTTCAAGTGGAAAAGTGACTTAAGCAAAGTGGAACTCAAATTTATCATGGGAGTCCTTGCTAAAAGGAAATTAATTTTTAAAACACATTTAAACCCCCCCCCCCCCAAAAAATAATAAAAAACAAATTATTCTATTGATTTAATGATAATGGACTTTTAATTTGGCCCACAAAAAAGCGTTTATTCTTTTTCAATACTTCATTACCTTTTAAGGTTCAGTGATGGAATATTCTGAATATATTACCAATAATGATTCTCACTGGATAAATAATCAGTACACATGATTGTCCCCCCCCCCCTACTATTTGCTTAACTCTCACAGAATAGCTTCCATTATTAATGAAATGGCCTTTCGTAGGTGTCCACAGTAAATCCCGAACATCTTGGAGAGAGTATATCAAGGGAACGAATCGTTGGTGCCCTTAGAACACGTCCAAAAAAATCATGCGCATTATGCCCCAACTTCATCCCTCACCGAAATTAAAGTCATCGGAGCTATTTTGGTTGTCATTAGTTAATCAACTCAACTAATTTGCTCAATATAGCATGCAAATTCCTCTATGCTAACGTTGCATTGTTGGCTTTAGTCTTAAAGGATTTCGTAAAATCTGAAATTTACTATCTTCATCTAAACAACACGCTCTATGTTCTTTACAGTAGAAGCACTTGCCAAAATAGAGTTTTATTGACAAGCACTTCAGAGCAACGGGTCTTAAAAATGGACAAGCCACTGACATTTAGTTTTAAAAATACGAATTTCCTTATCAGCTCAAAAATGTACAATGTTTATTCATTTATATTTATTGAATGACTTGAGCATTTACACGTTGCTATTACCCAAAATTCGTTCCTAACATGACGACGCCATTTCAAGCTTTGTCAGTTTTCGCCTTCTCCGAGTTACCGAAAATGCACATTTTTATACTAAATTAAATTTCGCAAAAGTTATTACATTTATATAGTGGTTTATTTCATATCAGTTGACAGTGTTAGACTTGGTCTCAGGTTATTTTTTTCAAAGAAAAATTTCGTCAGGTTATCAACGTTGAGGCAATTTGGAATTCCTTTTCGACATATTTGCTATTCCATCTTTTTCTCAGAAAAATAAGTAAGTTTGCTGGATAGCAAAGTATCGCCCTTCCCAACACCCGTCATTTATGGAAACTGAAAATGGTAATGGGAAGAAGCGCTCTTCTGATTGGAAAAAAACTATTCTATTCTTGCATTAAGATGCAAGACTTCAATACTTGAACCTCTAATAGCAGTTAAATACTCTTCACTAGACAGACGCCTAAACGAAACATACGATTGTAAGCGGTCAAGGTCGTTGTCTAGTATCCCTATTTTCAGAATTCAGACCTAATCCTGGCCTGACCAACTCATTAATGTCTCCATTCTTCCTCCCCACCCCCACTCCATAAGGCATTTAGATTTATCAAGAGAAAGTTTCTTGTGTTTATGTTCTATAATGCAATCTAGTTAAAATGTGTTCTCGGGTATTGATAATACGGATTCTATGAACTCATCTGTATACTTATAGCCCATTTCTTTTCTTTGCCATTTTTTCAGGTCATATCCCTACTTCTGGCAGTCGTGGCGCTGGTATTAATGATCATCGCTTCCTGTTTCGCAAATTGGATGTACATAGGCCCCTCCCAAATGGGACTTTTTCATGAATGCTTTCCAGAAGACGTTGAAAGTGTAACCTATACATGTACCAAAACCAATTGTTATTCATGTGAGTACGTAACTTGGTTAAGTTTCTTTTATGAAAGCGAAAACAACCAAGAATAATGCTTCTCTAATCAGACAAGCAATCAATAAGCAGTAGACTGTAAAATAGAAACTTAGACTAGGTAAGCTAATCTAATTATGCTTTACCCCACCAATCACCATTTAGGCTGTCAAAATGTTGAACCAGAGTATCTATGGTAAAACACTTTCAAACCTTTAATTTCACTTCACCCACTGATACAAACCTTTGTATGTAATGACACAATATTTTTGTCGTGTATCACAGTAAGGAAAATATTTATTTCTTCAGTTTAATAGAGAGAGAACATATGACATCTGCCTGGGAGTAATGTAGGAAAGTTATTGTCTTTAAAAGGAAAGATTTTCTAAACGGAGTACCGAACGAATATAAAATATTTTTAAATTTGGGCTTTTTGAAAACATGGTCAATTGCAAACTCTTGCACTTGATAACTGGCCTCGATTGCAACTATCAAAAGATGAGCTTTAATTGGATGGAACACTCCCAAATTCTCAATCGCAACCAATTCGAGTATAAATTGTTGATTTCAAGACTGAAATCTCTAACACCACCATTCACTTCCTTTTCCACCGTAAATGTCATTTACTGTAAAAGCAATAGTACTGACATGGCCTGTTTCATTTCCTTGTTTGGGCTACTCAGAAATAAGTGAAGACAACTGAGGAAAGATAAAGTATACTACCAGAATGTTCAAATACGCATAAGACGGCTTAGTTTAATCGCGTCAGGATTGTGTGCTCTACAATCTTATGTACTCGCCAAATAGAATGGTGTTCACAAAGAACAAAATATCCAACCTCATTGATCTATTTCATGATTTACATTGTTAAATGAATGTATTTCTGGTACAATTTCCTAAATTATTTAAAAATTTTCAACAAGAAAAGTCGAAGAATCGTCTTCAGCCCAAGTAGATAAACAGTTACCAAACACCTGTCCATAAAGTATTCCATGCTTTGCTGCAATTTTCTCTGGAAATTTTTTTCCGAGAAAATGCATTCTAATTTATCGTCATACAATCTTGTTAGAGGGCTGTATTTTATTACCGATGGTTAAGAGAAAAATTTCACAATTTTTACCTTGAAAAGTTCAATATCTGCCCATGGAATGGATGTAAGTTTGAGGTGATAGCAAATTAGAGTTACAAAATATGCTCTAATGATAATTAATTTCCCCAAATTACTTATTACTTGATTAAATTTGGTGATTACTCGTGGCATAAGTTGATATTTATTTCTGAGGAAAAAGATGGCAGGATGAAATGAGTTTACACGAAATCTTTCCCCTTGGAGAGGCATTCGAAGTAGGAATATTAGGGTGGTTTTGGACCTTGCTTTATATGGTTTCTTCTCAAAACAGCGAAAAGTAATATTTTAGGACCCACAAGAGTTCAATCAAGATGGCCTGTTCTATGCTTTTTAACCCACTGGTGAATGCAAATTCTTGTTAACGTTTAAATCATTTTGGAGTAAATTATTAACATTGCATTAAGCGAACTTATCGTCAGAAATCGAAAACGAAACAAAGTTTTGGGGAAAGGTACCAGAGCTCCTCAGAAAAGGCTAAAATGGCCCGATTAGCAATCCTGATCGATATACAAGCCAGCATGAATTTAGCGTTTAAATGTCTATTTTAAAAGCTTAATTGGTAGGAACACTTTAAAGACTATATATATTAGGTTGGCAACTAAGTCATTGCCGATTTCAAATAAGAAGGCAAATTCGGAATTTTTGTTTAAAAATATAACTTTATTCAATTAGATATTGGCCGTTCTTGTCGATGACCTTTTTCCATCGTTCTGGCAGAGTAAAAATTCCCCGTTCGTAATATGTCTGGTCTTTGCTATTAAAAAACTGAATTAGGTGTGATCCGACATCATCCGCGTTGTTAAAAATTTTACTATTTAAAGAGTTTTGCATGGAACGAAACAAATGGTACTCCGAAGGCGCAAGCTCAGGGCTATATGGTGGGTGTGACAAAATATCCCAACCCAGTTCCAATAATTTTTGCCGAGTAACCAAAGATGTGTGGGGCCTTGCGTTATCATGATGGAAAACAACACCCTTCCGATTTGATAATGCCGGCCGCTTATCTTCAATTGCATCCTTCTTTCAGTTTTTCGAGTTCTTCAACATACACATTTGAATTTATCGTTTGGTTCTGCGGCATGAGTTCAAAATACAAAATTCCTTTGTGATCCCACCAGACTGACATCATAATCTTTATTAGGTGAATCTCCGCTGCTTTTCATACTGTTTGGGCTGGTTGGTCTTGCTTCACCCATGATCTCTTGCAAGTAACATTGTTATAAACTATNCGCCAGTAACTAGGTTCTTCAGAAATGGATCATTCTCATTGCGTTTCAGTAGCGGCGAATCACAGATGCTAATCCGTTGCGTCAAATGAATTTCCTTTAACTGGTGAGGGATCCATAAATCAAGTTTCTTGACATAACCAAGGGTTTTTCATTTTTTTTTTCAATGCATGTATGCGACACATCGAGCTTCTCTGCAATATCTCGTGTTGTGCTGTGACGATTTGAATCGATAATGGCCTTGATATGGGTTTCATCCACTTCGACTGGGCGGCCAGATCGTTGTGAATTTTTCAGTGAAAAATCACCGGAACGAAATCTTTCAAACCAATTTCGACACTGCCTTTCTTTTAAGGCTTCATCTCCATATACGCCACATAACTTCTTTTGTGCTTGCGATGCGTTCTTGCCTTTTCGGAAGTATTGCTATAAAATGTGTCGGAAGTGCACGTCCTGTTCTTTCATTTTTAAATTGGGATAAAAACAAAACTAAAGAACTAAACAAAAAAATTTTTTACTAATTAACCTAGAAGCCCATACAGTAAGAAAAAAATATAGGTTAGATGCTCTGGCCACGTTAACAAAACAAAAGAAAGTATAGAGTGAATTTGTCAACAAAAACGACAATGACTTAGTTGCCAACCCAATATATTCATTTATTTATTTATATTAAATGGCAGACTAAATATATTGTTCTTGTTTTACCATAGCCTCATTTAAATTGAGTTTCCTGTTTGACCTTCATGATTTATCGAGCTCATAGGTGGCTTGTTACAAACTATGAAAAATATCAAAACATATCCTTACTAATTTTCGAATAAATTTCGGAACACACAATTAACAAAGCATCTTGTTTATGCAGACAGAAGTATTTTAAATTTTTGCGGCAAGATGTCAGGCGACATTTTTGTCTATTCTCAAGCTAAAGAAAATTTAAGTTTAACTAATTAACTAAAAATAATATATGAATTTCAAGCGAAAAACTCTTGGAGATTTGGTATTACTGATTGCAAATTTAAAAAGACGCGAAGAATTCTCGATTGACTTTAAACATAGTAGACAAAACGTTGAGAATTTTAATTCATGATGCGAGATTTCATTTGAAATATGTGGACATAAGTCTATATTCCCTAATTGTTCTGGTAATAAATATATATATATATATAGGCTGTTAACTTGGGATACTTTTTTCTCTTTTCAGCAAACCGGTTCGCATTAACTTTATATCCTGTCAAGTTGAACAAAAGGTTAATTTGAAGGAAGAACCCGGTGTAGTTGCACATAGCCCCTAGTTACGCTACTCTTTAAATAGCTCTATCTACTTCCTGCCTTATAAATGAATGCTCTGAAAATGTACACTTGATCCACCCATTGTTCCATCAAAGAAGACCCACTGACATTGGGCACAAAGTCATTGTATTTGAAGCCAAGAAATTTTCCTTTGGTAACTAAGCTCATGGAATTAACACGGGGCAACCAATCAGATTAGATTATATTTAGTACTAATTTTGAAATCGGCCTTTTTGGCAAATTTCCACAATCTAGAATAAACCAATCTGTTAAATGTCCATAAACACCAAATTTTGTAGTTTAATTCCTGAGTCAAACTTTTAAGTCATAGATGGTAAGGTTGGGGTAAGCGTTTTCAAAATGCTCGTTTCAAAAGAAAATGGCCCAGGTATATATTTCGGAATTTCTCCAATTAACAATACTTCTGCCCTACCCTATTGTGAATAAAAAACTTTGAAGTTCCTATTGCTACATTGGCTTGTATGAGTAAGCTCAACGAATGACAGCGCTATTGATTCTAACATATTAACAGATACCTACCCCATGTTTCCATGCGAATGCCTGATTGTCAGATGACTTCATTGTGGATCCTTAAAGGGCTAAATCGATATTGGGTACAATAATGTAAAGAAGCACTTTACAGGTTGCAATGAAGTTGGCAATACAGACATGATATAGTTTTGTGCTCACATAATGGGTGAATTCCACTATATCATGGCCTGACCCCCAAAAATGGATGAATTAATCCCTTAAAGGTCATGTTTTAAAAGGGCTTTTGCTATTTGTTCATATCCAATTATTTCCACCTTCTCAAATGTAGAAATAGTAAGCCATAGTCAGTTCTTTTCAGCACAGCTATGGAGAGAAAATGAATCATTTTGCGAAAAGTAGGTCACGTATTAAATTCATTTGAATGTGCAATAAATCGAGACAATTTTTTACATAATTTACTAATTTGACAAATTAAATCAACTCGTATCAGACTAGCAAACCGTTACACATCTAAGGCTACAACAGTACTTCAGTACCCAATCTACTGACACCTTATTTTATATGAATTTATTTCTAATTAATCTTCTGTTAGAGATTAATAACGATAGTATTCACTCAAATTGGCGAAACGCAAATCTTAGTGGTTGAGCAGGATGCCGTCATAGCAGATGTGGTGTCATTTGGCTGAACGTTCATTACACAATGAAATTGAGTGTTGTTTTCTCCCTCTTTTTTTCAGATTCCTTCTTCATCGGAATGCTTTTGGCGCTGGTGGGGATGTTTTTTCTGCTACTAGGAATTCTTCTCTTTGTGTCTGGGCTTTTGGTTTACTCTCAGGTTTCCAAAAGACACCTTTACAATGCTACCGTAGGATTCTTCATGTTAGCCGCCCTTTTCTATACGGCCTGCTTAATTACTTTTCCCATAAATTTTCTGATCCAATTCTCAGATGACAAGGTCAGTTATTTTGCCTCTCTTATTTATGTATCTCATCTAATGCTTTCATATTCTGTTTTTAGGTAATGCCTCTTCATTTTTATAATATTTGTGGGTATTCAGCGACCAACTATGCCTATTATTTTTCTCTCCCTCGAAAGATTTTAAAAGTTCAGCGTGCTGATTTTCATTTTCCTGAAGCGTTAAAGGGATGAACAATCTTGCTGAAAGAAATTTAAGACTAATTGTCAGAATACAGTGACTGTGTACTGATGCCAAAACTGTAATTGCATGTCAAGAGTTTCAAAAATAGGCTATTTTAAGAAATAGTCAGAAAGATGCCAACTTTTTGTTTGGTTTTAATGTTCACATTTATGGAAGGCTTCAAATAAAATTCTTTGAGAATTCAATGCACTAGTGGCTAGAAAAGCAAATTTGTGTCATCGCATTGAGGATGTACTTTAGCGATTTTCCTGTTAATTATTCCGTGACTAATTCAGCAAAAATGCGCTAAAACCTTAGTAGCCTATAATATCTTTAGAGGGAATATGATTTGGACTCATTATTGACTATGAGAATGCCTTCAAACCTTTAAAAGCTCTACTAAACATGGGGTAACACTTAGCTTGTATATAAGTGAATGGAAAAATCTAATCATCAATAGTCGTTCTTTATTCGGATTCAGGAATAATTTAATTTTTAAAATTCAAGTGTTGCAAAGTTAAAGTTGTATGAATGCCTACGGGTCCAAAGTATTCGAACTTTACTGACTAGTTGATTTGATTGAATATAACCACTACTTAATTTTTAAACAAGTAGTATAGTATTGTATTACTCGCATGGTGGTTAAACGGCTTCGGTGATCTATCGGAAGCTTGTTTTGAATAAGAATTACCATGTTAAACCAATAATTATATTATTTATGGTTTATTTTAGAAATAACTGTATTGGTTGTCCTTCTTCACTTCTGCTATTGTGATTAACTTATTTCATGAATTAAAACTGCGAAACGTCAGCGATAACTTTCACTTGAATGGGCAGTAAATTCTTGTGACTCTCGTTAAAACCATTTACTTTTACTATTTTGTACTTTAGTAAGTGCTATTGACTTTTCTGCCATAATGTACGTCTCCTGGCAACGCCACTAGGAATAAGAGCATTAAATCAAGGAGACATGTCAAATTAAGTGTGTTCTGTTGAATTCTATTCTTAAAATATCGATCCATTGCGCCTATGTGCCGTAATAAAATGGGGGAGGGGTTGAAGACTTCAGGAAACTTCAATTCCTCTTTCATGTAAATCAACCTAGCTGTCTCCCCCCCCCCCCCATTGTTTGGAATGTTACCTCCTAGTAGTAATGTACTCTTCCCCTATCCGGAGGATGTTTAAATTGCAAATTGAGCTATTCATAAGAAAGAAAGGCATTTTCATATTTTGCCTATTCTTTAAAGCAATACATCTCTATGTCCAAATAATGTTTGTTTTCAGTTCAAATTAACTTAATAATGGTACGTTATTCCATTCACTAAGGAAAGATTAATCATACTATCGAATGGCCATGGCACTCGAATAAATACGAAGTCATCCAAATCAATAATTTTTCAGCTTTTCAACATTCTAAAAATGATTTATCCGAGTTGGTCTTTCCTATTTTTACATTCAGAAGCTTCTGACATTTAAATAGTTTACTTTCCATGAATAAATCAGATTTAGATGGACAATAGAGTTGTAAGCAAACCAGCTCTATTTTAATGCTTTGGAGTTATTGGGAAATGGAAATATCCTTCTTCATTACTAAATACCTCGAGAACTGAGGTAGGGGCTCCATAAGACCCCAGAGAGCCTGAACTCGCTTTGATGTACGCTTTTAATTGCCATTTACATTGGCCAGTTACAGATGTCAGTTGGGAAGGTCAGGTCAGCTGTTCTCTATGTCCAGAGTCCAGGTGTCTGGACATTAGTGATCCCTAAAAATGGATACTGGAGAATAAAACTGACATCCGTTAAAATGTTATATCACACAAATTTATGGAAATTCAAACATTAATTCAACTTTTACTACCATTAGAACTTTGAGTTAAAAAGTTCTACCTCTGATAAAAATTTTGCCTCCTGTAGAAATTTCAATGTCAGTGTCTAAGATAACTCTGTGGAATGTTCGAGACTGGATACATTTGGACAAAAATAACAATGTCGAGCGAAAAAAAAGACTATAGGTTCAATAAAATAATGAATTTTCGAAGTCTTTTCGTCTATCAATTGCAAATACTCACATATGAGCTCTTTGTTTATTTCCCTTCAACTTTTTTACAATTTGGCAAGAGAACAATTTAGTTGGATGCATTCAGTCCATTTACTTAACAAAATGGGTCAGTTAATATTCACACTACAGCCAGAGTCCGAAATGCAATTTGCACCAATTATTTGACACTTAATTAGTTCATTTCCGTGGTGATTTAGCTTCCAAAACATGTGGGAAAGTGGGAAGGAGGGGGGGGGGGGGGGGGGGGGGGGGGGGGGA